ATAGCACAATAGTACAAATGAAGTACGCTAAATATAAATCAAGAGAGCTCATTTTGGCGTTTGTGGTTGTTGGGCAAACATTTTAACACTTGCTGTTAACCATAATGAGACATTGCACTGCTGTGTGTGGTAATATCTTTGAGGATAATTTTAGATAATTGCATAAACAAAGCATCCTATCAATCATAAATCTGTTCATCGTAACCTGCTAACTCAAGGAAGGCGTTTTATTTGTTTTATACCTGAATTGCCTGACAGCCGTGGGTCAAGACTCAGGCACGGACTTGTGTTTTTGTTTTACCGTGAGACGAGGAACCGTGTGGTTAATGCCCACATGAAGTTAAACCATCAAAGTGCGTAAGTTCAGCTGGGTTAAAACTACAGTGTAGAGGAAAGACAAACCGTGTTGTGAACTCTGCTGCTTATTTATCCTTTCTACTCTCAGATTTTTGCCTAGAAACATAGCAAAGTCAAACGCTCAAACAGCAGAGACTTTGTTGCTGTAAGATTGCTTTCAAAGGACGTTCGTGCCGCTGTGTTTTTTTTATTATTGGCAAAACCCTTGTGGAAAGCAAGTGGTATATTTAAATGTATTTTGTGATTTATTTGTCACTAATGGGACATCGGTTGTAATAACTTTGGTATTTGTTTTGAAATACCAAAGCTGAGGAGGATTCTCAAAGCTGAGGAATGCTCCACGCGCTATAAAAGAATGCAGCCCTGTGCGGCGAGCACGTACACACACTCTCCCAGACGTCCTTGAAAGGAAGAGGATGGAGATGTTGGTGTGCTAATGTATTTCTTGTAAAAAACATTTAGGCAAGCGGCAGCTTGATTGGTGTGGCGTGGTTGAATTTCAGAAAACACAAGTGTGGGTTTTGTGTGTGTGTGTGTGTGTGTGTGTGTGGATTTTCCAGAACAGCCAGTCCCGCAGGCTTGCACTGTGCTGTACTAGTTCCACCTCTAACGTCTTTTTCAGGGATTGCAGTAGGTACCTGTTCCACTACATATCTTTCTACAGGGCTACTTACAGTTGCCCACCCAGGTTCACTCGGCCATGCCAGCTGGCCTACCTCCACTACGCCACCTGGTCTTTTTGCTACACATACACCTTTTTTTCCATCTGAGGTTGGGAGTAATTTTGGTGAAGTAAAAGTGACTTCAACAGGCTTTTGCAGTGAATGGAATATGTGTTTAGCACTCATCTGTATTTTGAAGCTTTCCCTTTAATTAAAAAAAAATATCTGGATCTCCTGTTGCGCAGCTAAACTTTGTTGTAGTTTCCAGGTTAATGATGGAAAGCACTGTGGTTTTTGGAAGTAAAGTCACTTTTCAGTAGCGCTTGTGTGTTAGGGTTTAGTCGTTTCCGATGCCAGTTTTCCTGTGCTCAGACATCGTGATCCTCATTAGTCAGAGCTCTCCCTTCTTTCCCCCTTTCATTTTAACTTAATTCAGTCATGCTTAACCAATCATTCTCCCATCACAATTGCACGCACATACACACTAAGCGAACCATGCACAAGCAACGCCTTTGGACATCTAAGGGGAAAAACGCATGCACGTTCACACGCTTACATGCCACTTTTAGGTAAGTAGGGCAGCATCTTAAGATTATTCTGCAAAGTTCGTGTAAAGGATAGCCTGCCGCCTCTGGGGGGGGATGCATTGTGGGATCTATGCTTTATACACACACACGCTCGTAGGCACCGCCTCAAAGACAGATTGCCTTGATATTCTCTTTCAAGTAACCGTGTCAGCAAGTTATTCATCGTTTAACTGTGTGTCTGAGAGAAATGGAGGTTTACTTTTGGAACCATTTACTGTTTGTCTCATCACATCCTGCTCTGTGACAGATTAATCCCACAGATCTCTAGCGGAGAGTGAACAACATGTAGGTTTTGTTTGTTTTTCACTCATCTTTTCAGCTTTTCACTCTCTTTCCATGTCAGAGATGGCACGCACAGACAGGAAATAAAGGGAAGCTGAGGATGAGTAGGAGGAACAGAGAGCCACATTGTGTCTTGTAGGCCTTTTAGTGTGTGTGAAAGTGGGGGCGAGATGTGTGAATGTGTGTAGATGTTCCTTGAACTGGGTTTATGTCTGTGGTGGAATGAATGTGGCGATGCCAGGGTCAGTGTCCGGCTGTATTTTTGTGTTTATCCAATATCCAAGCAGTACAGAGACATTGTACATTAAAATCACTTTTACAACGAGCTGGCATGGTGCTTACAGTTACCCACTGGTGAAACTGGTATCTGTCCTGTAGCTGCTGTCCGGAGAAGCCGCAAAGAGGATCTGATAGCAAAACCAGCCAACCACTACCTTTTTGAAAGCGTTTGTGCACTGTGTTTGCATGGGAGTATACTCCTCGTTCACAGCGCCCCTCCCTCTTAACGTGGGTCCACAATATTCTGCACAATTCATTTGTTTAAATAGAGCTGCCAAAGTGGTGCTTGCTTAAGGGATGAATGTGTTGTGTCTTTGTCTCTCGTAATCTCTGCCTTTGCAAGAAAAAAGACAAACAGTCCTTTCCGAGATTTTCCTTACGTGCAGCTTGGTGACTGTAGAAACAAGCTTCCACGACTGTAGATGTGTACCTGCTCTTTGAGTTATGGGAATCCCCATATTCCCTGGGATGTACAAATTAAATGGTCTTCCGACATGACTTGATTTACTTCACGAAGAAGCTTCCAGTCACATGTCTCTGTCTCGTTGATTGAAGTAACAGACAAACACACAAATGGCCAGTAGGACTTGTGTTGAGCAAAAATGATTGTTTAATGACTGTCTCGCTAAAATCCTTACAGCCACCTCCTCAGTTGTGTGTGGTTATTGTGGGACTTGGGCTAATTTAGAGGCTTTAAGCCACTTTAGCACTTCAGGTCCTCTGCTCATTTGACTTGCAACTTACGGTTGTTCCAAAGTTCCAAAGAACGCTTAAAGGTAGTTATGTCACTCCTGACTAATACACTTGCTCATGCCTTACTCATGTTCATGGGGCAACAGCGTGGAAGGATTGCACTCCCTCAACCATTATATGAATATAAAAAGGTTAAACTGGAGGTCGTCCAGATTAGGAAGCGTGACTCTCTTAACTGTAGGAAACTGTCTGTGTTATGCTTCCCGTGACTGCTGTTCTACAGCTTAATACCTGGGTGTGGAGATGCAGGATGAGGATGCCAATTTCCTTTCCCGCTCTCCATTTCGGGGAAATTCTAGATTACATTTGTCTTTTGTTAATGGGCTTATAATAGAGAATTTTTTACTGATTGTCGAAGTCAAGACGGTCCAAGTAACCCTCAACCATCCCCTATATCGTGTTTGTTATCCTGCAGCGAGAGAGCCAGTGAAACGGAAAGCTTAGAGTTCTGTAGAAAGACGGGGAAATAGTTTTTAATTTTAGATGTGTTAAGAAATCCTGGACAATTTCAATATAATAGGACAGACAAAATAACCAAAAATAAAAATGTAATATCAGCATTTACATCGGGACTTGTTTCCTGTAATTCTTCATGAACTGCTAAATAATAAAGGTCAGACAGAAAGAAAGTGGAAGTGCGAACTTGTCTTAGATTTTGGTTTCTATTCTTAGGTGGATCTGATAAATCTCATAAATGTTGCTGACAGTGACCCAAACCAAAGGGGTCTTCACGAGGGTCTTCACCTTTTTTGTAATTCGATGACCCATCTGGTTGAAGACCCCCAAACCCAAGCCCTGCATACTCTGATCATTTATTAGTGCTTCATTAGTAGTTTTAGCAATGTTATAATTGACATTTTCTTACATATGTTGCAAATTAAGGCAACTAATGGGGTCTTTTCCAGTCTTGCTTACTGACATGATAGAAGGGATGACAACAAATTAAGAGTGAAGTCACATAATGATAACTGTGCAACGAGTAGGGGTATGACCTTCAGCAAATAAGAGCTTTGTCCTGATGTTAACCTCAGATGTTGGGTCTTCAAGCCTGAGAGCCTTTGAAAAAATATGCTCACCAGCCTTAAGCAAGTTGTTGACTGTGTCTGTTTCTGTGCTGGTTAATGGCCTGAAGTTTAAAAACAGTGGTAGCACTGGGCAAGTCTGAGTATAGGGAGTCATGATGTCTCCTGCTTGACAGTTCAAAAGGACACAAGAGTGCTGCCAGAACTATGTAGTCAGCCATTCCCTCAAGGAGTCTAATTGGCTATTAATACTCACACGCTGCAAGTTAAAATCTTGTTGCAGACTTGCTGTGATGGTATCTGCCTCAGGGTCTGTCTTTATTCAGCACTTTATTCAAGTCACATCTGTATCTGGAGTTGTTATAAATGCACCTGCTTCAGACACATTCATTAGCTCCAGCCAAGTAGTGCAAACACACTGACAGCGAGTTTAAAAGCTGGAAAAACTTGGCAACATTTTGTGTATAAAGAGAGTTTAAAAATAAATGCGATTTATATTGTTTTCGTACAGTTGTAGTGAAAGCCACCGTTAAATTTACGAGCAAAGCTCAGCCAGGTCTGGATGTCTGTTTTGCATGTCTGCCTGTGCAGTTAGTCAAATATGGCATGTTGTATTCTAATGTAAGATAAGAGGCAAACTAGCAGGTGTTTGTCTTGAGTGAAGGGAGTTTACTGATGTAATTGTCATTACAAAATCAGATGCACGGAGCCAGTTTTGCAGGTGCAGAGTTACATTTCAGAACAGTTCACGCAGACTGGGGCGCCTGAAGCAAGTCATGACTTGCCCAGCAGCAGTTGTTGGTGTACACACACGTGCTTGTGTTTGTTTTGACGCCTTTTCAAGTATGTCTGACTCTGACAATAATAAAAAAAAAACCGTCTGTACATGCATGAGTGCACTGTGAAGCATTCCCTCCACTGTTGCTGTATTTTTTTTTATCCTTTCGTCTTTAGCTTTCTGTAAAGAACTGTTTTACTTTCCCGGTGTTGTGATTTGCTCCTTTGCCTCTTGGATTGTGATGCTTGACCTTCTCACTCCTCCCCATCTAATTTTTCAGGAGAAACAAGACCCAAGCAGCACCTCTCTGCAGCTCCGTAATGAGATCCAGGTAGGCGAAGACACCTGCATAAGAGTAGCACTTGTGAAATACCGTCAGATGTCATTGTTACCAAAAGTCTGACACGTGCCTCCACCCCCTTCCTTGTCTCTCTCTCCAGGAATCTTTAGGCTTCAGCAGCGAGGTGTCCACTCCTGAAACGGACAGAAAGTAAGTTTCCATTTTTGTCCCTGATAAAATGTGACTGTAGCAAATGCGCATCTATGAAGTATGCTTGGATTGAGATGTCTGTCTGCTGCATTTCCAAACAATTTGCAGCCTGTGTCTGGCTCATATCAAGTTGTGCATGCCTGCACACAAAATCACACTTTCTTCATGTCCACGGCTAAATATGGAGAGAAATACACACAGCTTCAGACACAGCTAATGTGTTTGGTAGATCTATTATGTGGAACCTTGTTTTTTCTTTTGTTTTTTTTTAAAGCAGAAGATGCTAGTTTACGTGTGCATATTTGCTCTAATGATGGTAATAAAACATTACCCACTGACTATTTAGAAGGTCATTTTCAAGAGAGTTTAAAGTTAAGGAGCAATCTGCACTAATGGACGTCTCGAAAAAGATGTAGTTGGTCTTCCATGCTTCTCTGCTCACATTGCTGCTGCAGTTAAAGGAAACCCAGTGACTGCTTCCTCTGGCTGACTCGCTTGGACCAGCAGCCATTCTCTATTCTCCAGGCCGTCTATACTTCCTTCCTGCCTTTGTGTTCTGCGATGTACAGGGGGGGGAGACGGAGAGGGTGATGGCCAAAAGATTAGAGCAAAAGAGCATGAACGAAAGAGCAGGATGGAACTGGGCATGGGTGGGGTTCCTTTTTACTGGATCCTGTTACACAAAAGTATGTTCTTTTTTTTTGAATACCACTGTATTTTGCTTGCATAAAATTTCTAGGTTGTAGCCCACCATGAGGTCACTGTTATACAATGCTATGCAAATTTAAAGCAATCCAAGTTGGCTGAGGTTGGCTAAATGGCCTGATCGCACACACACGGTCGCTTTATGGCCACGTATGTTTGATAAATGAGACGGCATGTTAAGAATATATTTGTTTCATCATGACGAGTTGTCTAGTAAAGACCTCGTTACAAAATAAGCTCCTTGGGCAGTGTTGGTCATTGGTAGTGATAAAGAAAACCCCCAAATTTTAGGAAAGTAATCAGCCCCGGTGGAGCTGCCATCTTCACGTGATGACCAGTGAAGTGCATACCGCAGACATGATCTCTATTCCCATGGCTTTATATGTTGCACAGACAAATGCAGAAGATGATGGGATCCAGATACCAAAAAGACGTCTCTCTACTGTTTGAAAGAGACCCTAAAAAAGCCCCTAACTGTACTATATTATCCATTTTCTTACTGTCAGTCTGGTTTCTTTCTCATGCGTTGCATGGTTTCTCTTTCCCTTACCATCACCAATAAATATATTTATATATATATATATGTGTGTGTGTGTGTGTGTGTAATATAACTTGTAAACCTACCATTCTCTGAGTTTTTATTCTTAAATTACAAAACTTCCCACATCGCACTTGTAATAACCCTCTTTGTTTTAATCTATCATTCACTGGCAGCCTGTCTGCTCCCACTCACCCCAGTTCTCTTCTCTATTAAGTTGTCCATTGTCCACTTTCCACCATGGTGAATGGATTTCAGGTGGAGTGATTTATCATGTGCAGGCAGACCGATAGGCATGCCCCGTGCATTCCTGGGACCCGATTCCTTACAGCCGCACAAAAGGCACGCTTCCACGTTCATGCGCACAAGCACGGGTACCCCACTGTCGCCTCTTTGCGGGACAATAGCAGGCAGATAAGATTTCCCAGTCTTCATCCAGGGGCTGGAGTCACCCTTCTTTTCCCTGTTTCTATGTCACTTTGTTGGCAAGACGTGGGCACAGCTCTGATTGTGCCGGGTTTACAAGTGGTGTTGACAGAGAGCTCCCAGAAGGCTGAAAGATTCAAGTTTGCAACATCCTGTTTTTGGAAGCTGATTGGTTGGTGGATATTGCTGTGCAAAATGGGCAGCTTGCTTATCAGTAAGGTTAAAAAAAAAAAAAGAGGTAAATGGATTTTGATGAAAACGCACATGCAGAAACAGAATATGCGAATTGGCGGCTCCAACTGGGTTTGAAAATGGTAGTGCGCTTAGAGGCATCTGTGCTGCTGGAAAGCGCAATAATCAGATGGAAGAATCTGTTTCAGAACAAGCACCACGTTGGGAAACTAAAGCACCTTGTCAGCACATTTACCTTGTGCTGGTGAGTATTGTAGCCTTAAGTTGAACAAAGTAGATGGCAAGTTGAACGACAGGAAAGTGCGCTCGTAGTTGATATCCGCGTACTTTTTCAGCTAAGCGCATAATTTTCTATTTTCCTGCCTTCCCTTTTGCGGTGACCTCTCTGACTCCCTAAAGAGGTCGTCCCTCTGTTCTTCCTGTGGACACTGCTACCGTCATACTGTCACCTCTCATTGTTTCGTCAAGAACACCGGGGATTGCTTTGCTCCAGGTGGCCAACCTTGTAACCACACAAAAAACACAGTGTCTGTGTACAAACATGCGTCCATTCCCGTAATTTCACCTGAGCGCAGTACAAAAAAATGGCAGTAAGATGCCATTAAACATGAGCTCACACAGCTGTGTTCAAATCTTCCCATGTGCTGGTTTATCATCATCTGCTCTAGACAGCACCTCTGTCACACAGCATATGAGCTATATTACATATCTGCAGTAGTTTCAAAGCCCTGTACTGTAACACAAATGGTACTTGCAGCTTATCATTTTGAAAATTACTCATGCTGTTCATCCCAGCTAGGAATAGTGCTCACAAACATATCATTTTCAGAGCGCAAAGCAAGCATTCACGCATAGTGAATATGGGCTTAAATAAGCAAACACATGGTAACTTTAATTTTCATATTGTACACACATCATGAGAAACAACCTGTGCTTGTCCTGGACAGGTTCAACCCATAGTAGAGATATTGTATGTTATACAGTACCTCTGTTAGCAGTTACATGTTCCCTTCTCACTGCAGAGAGGAGAATTGAAATAGGAAGGCATGCCAAAGATTTAAGGTTAAACCAATTAAGTTGCCTAGCCACACTATGCTGGGTTAACACACTTTTGGAAGACATTCAGGCTCTTTTAGCGAGCGGATGTGTGCGCGTGAGTGCATGTCTCTGTGCGCTGCATGGGAGGTTAATTTATAGAGCATGAAGGTGGGGTGGGGGGTGACGATGCCGCTACAGAAAAGCTTCTATTGAGGGAGTTCTTTTAGCATTAGCTTTGGCCCTAGCCTGTCTGGGAGGGGGAGCAGAGGAGTAAACCATACAGGCATCCATTCAATTAGCATCTCATTACGTTGCCATGGCAGCCGGGCTTTAAAGCCGTGCAAAGATTTCCCATTGCACCTAGACAAGGGCTACCATATTTGAACAAATGTACGTGGTCGCATGCGCGCGCATACAGGGCCGTGTACCAACTGGAGAGGAAAAGTGACCTGTTCATCTTGTTTTGATCCCGTCACTCTCTTTCATGATGCTTCAGCGACAACCACCTGTCTTTGTGTGTGACTCAGCAGCTGTATGCATGTGCGCAGTTGGCTGAATTCACAGACGGGTGTGTGAAAACCTGCCGGTAAGAGACGGTAAAAGAGCGAGACATGCCTTTTAGAAGAGAGATTAGCTTAATAAGTCTCTTAGGTTATCAGCTGGATAAATTTAAAGTACTCTGTTCCCCCTGTGATTTATTTCCATTTAACTGAAAGAACAGCTTACAGTGTGCAGCCAGCACCACTCATTATCACTCCCACACTATTATACATGAAAACTCAATATTTTTGCTTTATCCACAACTTTTAAGACCAAAATAGAGTTCTTGATGTGGTTTGTCAACTTCTGCATAACCAGGGAGTCAGCTGAGATCCAACATGCTGCTGAACTTTTGAGAAAATGGCGAGAGGTTGCTCATACATGGCTTTTTCATCAGAACACCGCAGTTCATGTTTTACCAGAGGCTTTTACTTCTTTTTTTTTTTTTTTTTTTTTTGGAGACAGTTTTATGCGCACATTGGGGTATTTGTTTTTACTCACACATTTTCCATTTCTATCTCTCTCTATGCCCTTAGTTTCAGTCTCCCATCTCTCTTCCTCGTGACTGTCTATCCTGTGGAGGGAAGTGGAAACACAAACAGGCTGAGTCTGCCCTGTGGTTTCTCCTCCTCCTCCTACCCCTTCTGTCTCCTTCTGTTTCTCTATTCCTCAGTTCCTTACTTTCCCTCTTCAATCTGCGCACCACTGTTAAATGGTTGTTCTTCCATTCGTCTTGTTGACCTTCCTGCTTTCTGTACTGCTCCTAAACACTTCTGTATTACTGCCATCTTCATCTTACCCACTTGTTTTTGCAGCAGGGGTGTTGTTACCCACATCTCTTTTCCTCCCTCTCCCTCTCAAGCCTCAGGAGCCTGGTCTAAATCACTAAAGTACCATCACTGACCCCAAGTGGTGGATACACAGAAATGCAGACCCACTCCCTGAACGTGTATAATTGTCGCTGAGCATCAGTGTTCTTTTTATGTGGTTCACTGAGATTAGAAGAGACACTGTAAATTTTTCTTCTTTTTTTTTTTTTAAACAGTGATATTTTTCTGTTTTCTTTCAGAATGTCTCTACACAAGTCCAGCTCTGAAGATGGATCTGGAGGTAAATAGATTTCAAGTCAATATACAATTATGCCACCTTGAACCCAGCTGGACTTCCAGTAACGGTGCAAAGTGTCTGGGCTAAATTGCCTATTTTTGACACTATCTGTGGGATAGTCACTACGTTTTGATGCTCTTTTAGGGTAATCATAATCTCCTTGCTGTTTTTAATCTGTTTAGATTTTGGTTGCGTAGGTGAGGCAAAATAACTGTTTATGTAAACCTCCAATATCATTTTACATGTCCTACATCAAGCAGGGTGGAAGCATAAGTGGGTACCCTGTGTGGTTTAACCTCAGGATCTCTCACACCTAAAACCAGCATCATACTCGCATCTTTATTCACACCTTCTCAGGTCTGGATGATGAGGCAGCAGAAGTTTGAATGAAGTGTAATATTGCATTTTAGTTTTACATTAATTAATTTAGTAAACATATAAAATTTTAGAGTGAAACACATTCCAGTCATGGGTAGAGCTCTTATGAAAACAGTTATATTTTGTCTCCTGTACTCAGGAGAAGGTTTGTTAGATTTGAGAAGTAAATCCTGATGATGTCATAGTGGGATTGTCAAGTTTGCCTTTGATATAAACTCAAGCTGTGGTTTAAAAGACATGGACATTTATCAGACAGAGTAATTCTAATGAAATTCCATTACAGGATTAACCATTGTAGAGTACATACTAGTGTTTAATAACCGAGTTGTTTTGACTGACCTAGTTTTCGTATTTAAAGCACTGAAACACTGAACCGAACAGTTTCTTTCCTGTATTCCTGAAACAGCAAAGTGCATAACCCGGTTTAGTGTATTTCTCATGCTCATCGTGTTTTCTTGCTTGTGTGTAACCTCGTCTTTTATTTCCTCCCTTAAGGTAAATGGGACAGTAAGAAGAAGAACAAATCTTTTTGGCAGAACTTCCGCAAATCTCAGCACAAACCCGTTGTACGACAGACGTCCAAAGGTTTGTGCGGCTCTATTGTACACATTAGGGTCACCGAATATTTGTTGCTTCGTGTTTTCCTTTTTGCTCATTGGTCTTTACCCCAATCAGGAGAAGATATTGGCTACGTGGCCAGTGAGATCACCATGAGCGATGAGGAGCGGATCCAGCTGATGATGATGGTGAAAGAGAAGATGATCACCGTAGAAGAAGCTCTGGCTCGGGTAGGAACCTCCCTCATTGTCTCTTGCACTTTATCCCCTCCCTCATCGACCCTCATGCCCCAACGACTGATGGGCTGTAATCTTCTTTAAACCCTCCCTTTCTTCATACTCCCTCAGCAGCTCTGGCTTTCTAAAACGACTTACTCTTACTAACCAACCCCCTCCCTTTTTACCCTATATATATTCCCTATATATATATATATTTTTTTTTTTTTGCGCCTGCATTGTCCTCTTTACACACACAGCACACACACAGCACACACACATAACTCCAGACTTAATGGTGTCTCCAGAGGTTTAGGAGTCCAGGGATTTTGGAGTGTGAGCTCTTGGAGTGTGTGGGTGTGTTGTTCAGCTCATACTTGCGAGGTTGACGGTCATAGTAGCTCAATAGCCCCATCTGTTGGAGGGATTCTGTGGTGCATTGTGGTCTTTCTCTTTAGTTGGACATGGTGGATATTCATTTGGCTGTCCTATCCATTTTTTTCCCCAATGCACTTTCACTTTGATCTGACTCTCAATCAATATCTGTTGATTGGTTTGTGACTTTTCTGTCGTCTGTTTTTTTTTCTCTTCATCTCCTCCCCTTCTGTCAATTTCAATTTATGGTGCTTTTCTCCTGGGTAGCATGCCGGGCCATCAGAGTTAGAAGACTGGATTGCTCTCCCAAAGGCAGATGTTAATTTTCTTTTTACATGTCTTTTTATTTTCTTCCAGGATATTGATTTTAAATTGGAGGATTTTACCTGTCTTATGATTGACATTCTGTCAAACCAATCATAGAATCTAAAAAAGAAAAAAAAAGTGGTGAAAGGATGCAGAGACCTGTTTAAAAATCAGTAACCTTGCTAATTTCCCTCATGGTCACGGACCTCAGCCGTCAGTTCACAACCTATAGTAGCCATTCTATCCTCGTGAATGCACACTGCTGATGTTTTCCAGGCTAGTATATAGTGAGACATAGCATGCTGGGTGAGAGTGGGTGGTCCCGCCCTGTTCCTCTGCCTCTCTGACCTCTTCTTCTCCACGTAGCTGAAGGAGTATGAGCGCAGCAGACAGTCCAGCAGTACTGACACTGCAGAGTGGGCTGACGGATCTGCACCCAATCTAAACCAGTCCTCAAACTGCAACGTAAGTACACCCTCACCCCTGCCCCTTCCTCCGTTACCCAAGCCTATCAAAGCCTTGATCTGTTCCCTTTTACTCTCCCTCTTCTTAACACTCTCACCTCAGCCACTCTCACTTTGAGTTTAAACTTTCACAGGAGAAGGATGGGATGTAGAACAGCGACATTGAGTTGATTATATATGTGAATGTGTTTATCCAAATGTGAATGATTCAACTTTACTCTTGAATTTCCTTTTTTTTCTTCCTTTATATTTCGCTCTCTGTTCTGCATTCGATAGCCAAACTACAACATAACTGCCTCTGCATATGCATTCTCTCCACCATGTCAAGTGCATCCTAGTAGTATTGATGTTGCCTCTGAACATTTCAGTTCATTGCTCAACTCTGGTTTTCCTTAGACTCTGCTCATCTTTTCTTTTTGGCAGTCAGAACAAGAACTGTGCAATTCTCTGAAAGTCCTCTTCCATATTTTAGTCATCAGTTTAATCCTCGCCTGGGCATCTCATTAGAAAATTGTCCCACCAAACGTCATAATTGGCAGCTGCAGTGACAGGGAAATTGTCTTGTGGAAATTTAGGGCAGGTCTGTTTACATCAGTTGGTTATAATTGTAACTTTTGGAAAGCCAAGTGGAGAGGCACACAAAATCCACCCCAAAACTTTTGCAGCATTCAGCATTGAGGATACTTGATGTTCGAAAGTCGGCTGCATAACGGCGGCTATGTGTTCAGAGGTAGGAGCGCCGACAATCACCTCTTTGTTGGCCGCTGTTTGGATTTTGATGACAATCAGTCGGTTCTTTTCTTGTGTATTATTATGTGCTGCTACGTGTGTGTGTTTTGCTTGAGTGTTTTTGTTTTTGTTTTTTTTTTTAAATGGAGGTCAGCCTTGATGCAGAATCGAGACTTGCAGTGGTCAGGGCAGTTGTATGTGAACACGCAGATTATAAAGAATGTACTGTATGGCATCGCTTGGGAATAGCATGCAAAGTTTTATGCGTGACCCACTTTTTTTTTTCTTTGCAGGAAGTGAATTTATACAAACACAAAAATTCCAAGCTCTCTGAAAATAACTCCCACACACATGTATGTTGTTTTGAAAAGAAAATGCCATCGGTTCTTCACCAGAGTCTCAGTTACATGTCCTGTTTCTCCCCTTTATCCACCTAATTGAATGAACATGCGTTTGGTGGTCTTATTGTTAAAGTTGACCCCATGTTCTGCAGACAAATACAGATTTCAGTCCAAGCAGAGTTTGAGTACCATAATCTTTCATTTAAGTGAATGAACATGCTTCGGTGACTAATGCTCTAGACTTTTGCACATTCACCCCATGTGACTCCTCAGCTTAAGTAACGATTGCATTCATATGGAAATCAGATCTGCATTGCCGTTTCTTTATATGACTGAATCAGTAACTTTATGAATGAAGACCCATGCCAAACAGTTTTCTCACACCATCAAGGGGCTCCATTATTTATTCTTCTGGGTAATGATTGATGATATCCATTCACATGGAAAAATAGGTCAATTATGCCATGCATAACTTGTATCTGTTATCTGGTTCTTTGATGTAGTGCAGTATGCTGATCAGCTTGTCAGTCTCCTGAAACTTTCTGTTGTTAGCAGCTCACTTCCTGTGGGAAGATGGTTGATCATTTGGGGGATTTTACAGACTTGAGAGAAGACGGAAGAGTTACAGTACTGAAGGATTATTGTGTAGCAGAACACACAGTTTGGCCCTTGGAGGCAAATGCTGGAAGCCGAGAGGAAACTAGGGAGACAGAGACTTAAGATAAAGACTCAGCCCCCAAGGCCAGGAAAGGGGGAGCTATGCATCTCCCTTTGCCCCATGTTCCAGAATTGGCCATTACAGGAAATATTTCTTCTCTGCTGGGGCCTCTATTGGTGTCACATACTGCCCTTTCTCCTCTCTAGTGAATAGAATTAGGTTAATTCCAAGATCAGTAGATTTGCTCGTCCGTGCATTCCTGTATGCTATATACGGACACAAATATACAGCTGATGGTTGTAGCTGAAATGTTTGCAATAAACCTTTTTTTGGTTGCTCTGTGACTTTTTCCGTCCTGATGCTGTTTTTCTCTGGTCTTTTTTGCCCCGGCAACGGAACCTGCATTCCAGGGCTGGCCATTAGTGATTTGGGGGCCAAGGCAGGGTCAGAGGGGCTCAAACGCTGGGATTGTTCTCCATGCACAACATGCCTTTTCTCTGCTAGCCATGAAGCACGACCCTTCCAAACAGTCCCTCATTCCTCTGAGCTAAACAGGCTGCGTTTGTGTCTGCCTGCATGTGCACAGGGGCACAGATATTATTTTGGATTGTGCATGCGAGGGAATGTGCTCAGGGCACTACGGATTTGATGATCCTGCTTGATTGAATTATGGAATATTAACACAGGAAGTGCTGCCCTGCTTTTTCCAATATAGTGGTAAGTTCTATTGGTTTTCTGAGCTCACTGTTAGATTTTCTTGTAAATGCTCTTTTTCTATATTTGCAGAGAAATTTTCGTGTGCCTGAAAAGGACGTTCAGTCGTAGCTTTTGTTTATAGATGTTTGTAAAGTCGCCGTTTGCATTTTTACTTTTCCCATGTTTTAAATGGCAGCCTTTTGGCCAGCTTGATTTACGTCCTCATTTTGCTAGGCTTTCTTTCTGAGTTTGTCCCCATTCCCCTGTTTATGTGGTCATTCAAATGGATAGTGCCTCTTGGGAATGGGTTGGGATTTATGTCACTATCTCCTCTAAATCTTCTATTCATTAGAATAGAAGAAGAATCACATCATTCGACCCTGACGTTGCTAGGGCATTAGCGCTGCACATAGTTCTTAATATGATAAAATGACTTTTTTCCAGTTTTTTAAACTAAGACTCTCTTTACATTGAATTTAATGAAACTAATGCACTCAAACATCACCCAGGGTGAATGGCAAGTAGAAAAAGCTATCATAGCAGTCAGACCAACATGGTTAAGTTGTTGGAGGGACAGTGGAGGGGGGTTTCTTAGCCTGTTTCTGCAGGTTTGTCATCCGCCAAACGAGTGGTCTGGTGTTCTGGGCAGACATGGCAGAAGACTACAGTTTCAAAAAAGGAAATATCCTGCACACTGCTCAAGCTCAGTATAAAAATGTATTGATCGGACCCTTGGGGCCTTCATTGTATTCGTGCAGAGGTGCAGGACAGTTGTTTTCCTGTGGGAGTTTCATTCAGTGATTTAATGTTTTGTTTTTTTTTTGTTGTTGTTTTTTTTTCTGCCCGTCCCATTTGGTTCTTTAGCCATCAGAATTGTTGTCTGAAGACCAACAAGGATACCCAATGGATTTACTTTGCCAAATGGATCATCGTGGCATTGCCGTATTGGTCCATTTGGTCGATCTTTGTTTTTATTATTTATTATATTTTATTTTCAGATGTTACAGACGGGACAGACATGAGTGAGGGATAGGAAAGGGAGAAAGAAAGAGGAAGGAAAGGGAAAACAGAAGGGGAGAGGGACAGTGAGAAAGGGGGGGAGAAAAGAAATAAAAATCTCCTGGATCACCTGTTGAGAGAGGAATAGAAAACAAGCAAAAAAGACAAAAAAAAACCAAAAACAAAGCAACATACTAAACACAACACCATCGCATTAATCTAGCTAAGTGTAAACAGCAGTAAATACTAAATATTCAATGTTGTTGTGCAGCACGCAGGATAGATGTGCTTCGAAGTAGCAGCCAAGAAAGGTGTAATTTGGGTCTACGAGCAGTGAACACCCGTGTGCATACCTGTGTGGATCAGCGCGCTTGTATTCCAAAGGTTTCTCCATGTAACGATCTGCTAGGGAGTGTGGGGGGGCCACAGCCCCGTCCTCCAGGGTGTGAAGCAGGTATGGAGGAGATCAAAACTCCAGACATCCAGAGGCCCCCAGAACACAAGAGACCATGGAAGACCAACAGAGGGGCAGCCGCGCCACTGTTCCAGTAAGAGCTGAGGAGAGTCCCAGATGAGGGCTCACTCAGCAGCCGCGGAGCAGAAGCCAGGGGGAGTTGCAGTGACGCGCCCATGAGCTCCGCCGGCCGCCAGCTGTGCCTGAGTGACCGAGCCCCAGGCCGAGAGGCCGGGGGCACCCCACCTCCGAAGGGGCCCGAGCGAGCCCCAGGCTCCAGGCCCCGATAAGCGGCCGCCAAGGAGTGAGCCGGTGTGTACCTGGACGCCCACCCCCAGACACAAAGAACCACCAACGCACCGACACCTGAGGGAGTCCGCCACTGGCAGGGGAAGTGGTGGTGGGTGGAGATAGGCCTCCAAACCTTGGAGGGCCTGAGATGTCCCCAGAGAGGTGGCGTCTGATACCCAACCTGACATATAGACACAGACATACAGGCACACACAGACACAAACATCCATTCCCACCCTCATGCTCTCATATGCACTTACTCCACACTCAACCAACGTGGAGACAGACATAAAGAGACGCTGTACACACGATCACACTCCCCAAGCGTACTCTACAAACCGGGTCTAGGTGATTTAATGTTAAATGCACAGTCTATCACAATATCCACATATATGAAAAATATGATCATGTGTGACATGTGTTATCTATTAATAAGAAGGGTTACATCAGACCTAAAATGTAGCTCTGAAAGCGATGATGAAGTGGAAAGCACGGACTTACACAATGACACTTTTAGGAATGATGTGTAGTTTTTCCCTTTTCACGTTGGCAACAGTTAAGGTTTGTACTTGCATACCTGCAGAAAATGAAAAGTCATCATGTTGTTGTGGCCTTGGTGTGGTGTTGTCTGGGTTTTGTGGTCACTGTCAAATGTTTGCTCAAACTGAGCCACAGTTGTTAACATCATCCTGACTATATGTCAACAGCCTCTGCGCCAAGCCTGTGGTCTGTTTTTAGGGTGGTGGGAAAGCCTTTTTTTTTTTTTCTTCTTTTTTCCTCTTTCAGATGCATAAAACTGCGTGTTAACGTAAAGGCAGAAATGTGCATGCATATTATTCTTGTCAGATTTAGAAGCGTGTGCATGCTTTTCTAATCTCAAACACTGACAAAAAAAAAGGTTAAAAAATGACTACATTAGTACAACAAAAGCAAATGTTAATATTCTGTGTTTTGGGGACAAGAAAATTGTAATAGGATTTTGAGTTTTCTTCCCACTTGACCACATGAGGGTTAATTTACTCAAAAAAGTGTGTATGGAAAGTATTTGACTTTTTCTTTTTTTTCTTTTTTTTTTAAGATATGGTTGTTTATGTGTAGGAAAAGATACATACACTTTTGTCCTTTTGCAAAAGGTGCTCCCATGAATGTGAGCTGGGAGCATGTTTCCATGACAGTGACAACAAAAAGCTTTATCTGTTCTTGCAGCAGTCGAAACATCACCACTACAAAACAATGAAATCGCAGTGAAAGTAATGACGCTAATAAAGATGTAAAAAAAAAAAATTATAACACTGAAAACAATATATAAAAAGTAAAATTAAATAGAAATTGGAGTTAAAAAAAAAAGTCGTGTCTGTCTGTGTGTGTTGTTTAAATAGTGGTTTCCTCTGAAACAAAGTCTTTGAAGGCAACATAACTCAAGATAACCTATTTTTTTAAAAAAATACTGATTGATTACATCATTTGGTTGTCACTTCCTCCAGATCACATGCCACCTGGTTTGTTGTTTTAGTGCATTTCATGTCTCAACTGAATATGACCTTCACACAATGCAGTGTGCCACCATCCCTCCAATCCTCCATCCCTCACCTCACTAACTTTGCCGCCATCCTAAACAGAGCTCCACAATCTGTCGCGTTGTAAAAGATCTCTTAAAATCTCAAAGCATATTCATCCAAGTGTTATACCTTCTCTGCCTAATCATTTTAAACCACCTGTTTCTGTTACAACTGCAACCATGAATTGTTATGCTGAACTGGAAAGAAATTTTCAGTGTTAGCTTTTTTTTTCTTTATGTATTTATTTAATTCTTTATAAAAAAAATTTTTTTTGCTTTTTATTGACCCTAGCTACCTTTTCTCGTCTTCTTCTTTGTAATATCAGCCCTCTCTCACTCTCTCTCCACCAGTCTCGTGAACAGTCAGATGATGAGCAATCAGAGGACTCTGTGAAATTCAAAAGGCTTCACAAATTGGTTAACTCGACACGCCGGGTCAGGAAAAAACTCATCAAGGTGGAGGAGGGCAAGAAACATGCCTCCGAAGGTTTGTGATTCTGTCTGGCAGCAATATATTCATTTGATTACTTGATTATCTTTATGATTTATTACACACTCCAACCAGCTAAATAATGTTAATGTAATTGGATTTACATTAATTTCAACGAATAACTGCTGTAGGCGTTTTAATGTTTTTGGGGTTTCCCGATTCTCAGATTTTAAGAATGTAAATTTTTTGATGGGTAGCTAACTCAGGCAGACTTTCCTGTCTAACCCTCCTGAGTAACAAACTTTCTAACTGACTGTTTGTGTTTCTTTAGATTTTATGAATCTGGAGACACCTCCCACCTGTGAAGACAACACCGCTCTGTACACTGGGGTTCTAAAGAAGCCCCCTTTACACCAGGAGGCGTCTCTGCCCTCACTCACCCATGACCAGCTTTCTCTGGATGGAGACACAGATGGCCTGACGACCTCCCCTTCCTCCAGCAGTTTGGACACCTGGTCTGGACACAAGCTGGTGAAAACGTTCAATAAGTCTTCTAGTACCCACGGTCTTATCCGGCCCCCCAGGAGGACCCCAGCGGGCTCCAGTGCCCTGGGAGGCTCTATTCCTGGTGTGACAGGTAGTGGCTCCTCCTTCTCAGAGCTCGATGGCTGTGGATTGGACGATGATGGAAAGCTGTCACGCTCCACAACTGATGGCGAGATGAGGAAGGCCCTGAACTCCATCTCCCATGGGGTAAGTAGCAACGAGGCCCTGTATGCTTTCTATGGCCTGACTAAACCTCGCCCCAAACCCCATTCCCAGTCCCGCCTTCTGATCTCCCTGGATGACGGTCCGCAAGGCAGCCCCAAACATCAACCTGCCAGCCGGCACCACGGCAGCTGGACGCACCGGAAACCTGATCCCAACTATGCATACTCCACCAAGCACCTCCTGTACCAGCGCTCGCGCAATGCTAAGTCCCCCGTTTCTCCCCTGTCAGTCACCCCATCCTCCCCCGTCCGCTGTGATGTATCCAAATCAAAGGTTTTTGGAAGTGGGGGAGGGGGCTGGGTGTTCCCCTCTCGCAGGCTGCGTGGGCGAACAGCAGTCAGTGAGCTCAACATCACCTATGTGGTAGAGCGGAGCCTGTACGGTCACCTCAACTGGGCACAGCTGGTCCGCCCGGTTACACTCAGCCGCGCTGAGCGGCGCTGTCTATTGGAGGAGGACCGTGAGGCGGACAGGAAGTGGGCGGCCAGCGTGGACCGCTGCACCAAGCGTGTGCTCTTGCGCATCCAGCAGAAGTCTGTGAGTTTAGGTCTACAGGTTTAAATCGGCCGCCTCGTGTGAGAAGGACTCAGTGTGCTTCAAAGTTGCAGAATAGCCCAGAGGTTTATAGGTGACTGTCGCACAAACATACACAAATAAGATAACAGGTCAGCTGTTACATACCCTATATTAAACGTACCCATTTAATATAGTGTGTGTGGAAACATGCAGGTATTGCACAAGTTCTTTTATCTTGAAAACATCAAAAGCTGGCATATCAGTGACAGACCTAACTGCCCTTATAAGAATGCCATCTTCAGTGACCTTTAAGCGAATGCCTTTGCCTTCAAGCCTTTTTATTTTAGCTGAATATGAAATGATTATGGAAAGCGCAGTGCCCTACTTGGGAGGTTAAGTTACAGCAGAGGTTTTATAAGTGCCTTTTATAAATGTCAGATCCCTGAAGAACACATGCACTTACAGATCAGTAGTCGCACTGATCCCTGTGGGTGCAGGGGATGTTGTACAAGCTCGGAGCTGCTCATCCTCATAATAACTGCAGCACATAACACTCAAAGACTTATTGAATGGGTTGACTCGTTGGGTGAACTTCAGTGACATAATAGTCGCCATGCTTATTGTCTTGCACATTTATAAGGCTGTGAATAGCAACAAAATGATGGAAAGGTCAGAAAACCTTAATCATCATACAGTGATTGTAAAAAGCCAGTAATGACTTTTTTGACTTTAACCCAAATGAAAGTAGTCTGGTGGAATTTTAAATATTTTAGTTCTTTTTGGCAAACCTTCCCTATAGAGGTTTGTCATGTGAGGTTATGAGGTTATTTGCACGTTGATCGAAAGTTGTCCACCATATTGGACATGATACACCACCAGTTATTCCCCAACTGGTTGGAGAGTGGTTGCAGAGTTCCACAGTGTCACTAAGCTGAAATTGCTTGCAAAAAGGGTGCTGCATTGATTGCAGTTGCCTGCAGTTTACATACGAAATGCCACCTTGTTTGCAAACACTTGCTAACTGCTAACCAAAGCAGCAGTAAAACTTGCCACGAAAACCAGAAAAGTAAAAGTTCTGCCTTTGTGCTGCAGTCAGCTTGTTTCAGAAGATGAAATGTTTAATATGAAGGCCTTTGGTTTCCAGTTTGTGTCACAGTTTCACTGCCGTGCAACCTACAGGCGGAAATCAGCTAGTGACCAAAAAAAGGTTGTTGCCAACCAGATGGGGAATACTAATTTTGCCCTGACGACCGATGGTTACCAGATGGTTGTGGTCTCTAGGCTTGTGTGACTCGGGCCTTATTGACTTGACTCTGCATTGTCACCATAACCCCTGTCACATGTCGAAAATGGTGGACAATTTAAAGTCACGTTGCTAGTAGTGATGTGTCTCAATAATCTGTGTATACCAGCAGAAATAGTGACACATAGAGGTAAAGACGTAGTAGAGCTATCCTGCAGCTTTGAGGGTACCTGAATCCTATCGTGTTCTAGTGACGTCACTGGAGGTCGTTCTCATCCAAAAACTTTGAATTCACTTATTTCTGTTTTTGCTTTTCGTCTTCTTTTTTGGCCCGTGCCTCTATTGCAGATGTGATTTTTATTTTTCTTCTCTTTCTCTGTAATTATCTCCAAGAAACATCTTTTTTTTTTTTATCTGGGTGCATGTCCATTCCATTGAACACCATCATCACATTCAGGCTTATTTATGAGCATCTTTGCAACAGGTTATGTTTCCTGGAAAGCTGTGGCGTTGATCGCAGCATTAAACGTAAAGTAGAAAGGCCATTTTCTTAATGTGCACCGCTCACCCACTTGTTCAGGGTTGAGCTGAGCAGTTTTGTAATTGCTCAGAAAGCAAAAGGGAAATGCCATCACGTGCCCCACTTGAACTGTGAGAGTTGTTGGCAGATGCTTTGTGTGCATGTCCGTGTCTCCATCTTTGTGTTTAGAGTTTAACTTAGCAATTCGAATGAAAGAATTTATTTTTTCTTTACGTGTCGAAGTTCTCTATTGTGTCTGCCTTTATTTAGTTTTTGATCTTGAGAAAAAAAATCCACATTTCTCTGTCCTCTCAGCAGAAACAGTTGGCTCTTTCTGAAAATGTTTCTGGCGAGACTAATATATTGTTGGCTCTATATGTTGTGCATGTTTGCTAACTATGGCCAACTGCATTGGGTTGAGATGCAAGGACTATATATATCCACATGTAAAAGTAGCTTAGCCACATCAAGAAAAACTTAATGTTGTCCGAGGATATCAGGGACCTTTCGGAGCCGACAATATAACAGCTCATTTGACTGGAACCAAGCAATAACTCGCAATTTTAAAGAGGAGCTCGTATAAAAGTTTGTTACATCATGTCTGTTGGCTGTCTGCAGTCCCATATGACATCATGCCCTCGCATATATGCGAACCATACATCCATGCGCATTAATCAAACTGCTGCCGTGTTGTGCCGAGCATGAATCACTGTGAGTTGAGTCGTTGGGTGTGGAAGGGGAAGTTCTGTAACGTGGCCTGGTGAGTGTGACTCATTTGATTGTGTTTTGGCTCTCCCTCAGAGAACATGCAGCTTTGGAGGCTTTGACCTGTCCAACCGTTCCCTCCATGTGGTCAACGCAGGCAATGAGGCCAATGTAAGTGGTAATAAAACAGAAGAGCATGAGCTAAACTCTCCTGCTACGCTTAATCATGCTGATTTCCCTTTTGTTTTTGTGATCTCTCTTGGTCCTTGTCGTACCCTGTGCAATCTGTAACGTCTCATTCCCATCTCCTCTCATCTGTCTTTCCGTCTTTTTCTGCTCTCGCTTTTCTATCTTGTGATCACAGAGTAAAGAGCAGGAGGCAATATACAGAGAAGTGGTCAAATCCCCCACTACGTCTCGGATTTCACTGGGCAAGAAAGTCAAGTCAGTGAAAGAGACGATGAGGAAGCGCATGTCGAAGAAGTACAGCAGCTCTCCTTCTGAGCAGGTTTGACATAAATATAACATGGATGCAGACGTGGATGCAGTTTTTGAATGCTTCATTTGTCCCTATCTTGGCCTTATTTTTCCTAGTATTTAAAATAAGGCTTTTAAAAAAAAGAGTCCTATTGTGTACACATCTAAAGGATGTTTGCAGAGTAAGCTGCATATTCTGTCCATCAGCTGTGGCTGGGTTGGGAGTATTTATGTTGGTTACAAGATAAACAGAGAGCACTACGTCACATTCACATTTGGATTTCTCTCTCTGCTGTTCCCCTCCTGGACTAAGTGTCTTGGGTGGGGTGTTTGCTTCAAGTTGAGCTCAGGGAGTGATGCAAACCTCCCCCAGGCCAGCACTTAGGAGATGGAGAGTTAAAGTATGCGAGTCTAAAAGGATCGTCTCCTTTGCACTGACCTAATTTTTCTGGGCATCTTCTCACTTTACCAGTGGCCTGTCCAGCTCCACAGTTTGATGTCACCTCATAGGACGTGTCATTAACATGCAGTCGGCCATCTGCTTGCCATGGTGGTCAAAGTGACCCAGATATCCTCACATGAGTCATGGAGATGCTGGTTGAGGAGGAGTGAAGAAAGATGAATTGCTATGTTACAGTTTGTCAGCTATTTGATAAACCACAGTGCCACCTAGTGGATTTATGAGACATGAACAGCAAATGTTGACCTGTCAGTATATAAAAATATATATCACTGCTCCAAAGTTTACCTTCATTTCTCCAAAAGTTGATTCTGTTCATCTGGACGTAGCGTCTCCCACAAAACGCTACGTCCAGATGAACAGAATCAACTTTTGGAGATTTATTTACCTGGATGATTGAGCATACATCAATATGTTTACCTTCATTTAGAAATCCGTTTGATTTTCAAAGAAATTTTAATCATCTCATAAAGCCTGATGTTTGACCTGCACTAAGGTAAAGGACGAACATAATAAACTTTATCAAGTAGCACAGTGTGACACTTGGGAGCATGGGAGTGATGCCAGCTGAAAATGGGTCTTCGTACATGTGCTCTTAAAAATCATAAATGACTAAAGCTAAGAACGAGCGGTTAATATTTACATCTTTCTAATCTGTTTTCTTTCAAAAAGAAGCAGCACTAAACATTTGACCGACTGTCAATAAAAAGATGTCATGTTTTTATTGTTTTTAGACATTCAAAGCTTAGCTGAGAAGACCAATAATCAAAGGTTTTTCATCTAGTTGTTACTAATGTGTTCCTCATTTGCTATTCTCATTATGTTTAATGATTTGATTATGGTGTGATTAAATTAATGGGTTCATACTGTTTTTGTTTTTTTCCTCACGCACGCAAATGTTTAACCCCTAATCCTGCTAGCTGGTAAAAAATTTGATTAATGGCTTAAACAAAAAATGCTGACATTCCCTGTCATACCATTACCTGCATTTTAACCAAGCTATGATTGTCTCCCTTACGTAATTTTCTTTTTTTGTTGTTGTTATACGTCCACCTGCTGTTTATCACATGCTTTCGTCTCTTGAATGCAAAATCATTTGTGCCTTTCTCTTCCTTCGTTACACATCTGGATCTCTCCTTTCCATTTGTCTTTTAGTCCAGTCCAGATGCAGCCCCTGGTTCTCCACAATCCCCTCTGCCTGACACAGACTCTCTCGAGAAACCGAAGCTTAAGGCCGGAGGTTCTGTGGAAAGCCTGCGCAGTTCACTCAGCGGACAGAGTTCAATGAGTAAGACTTTTTTTAAAAGAACCTTTATTCAGACAAGGGTTTGACTGTGCAAACAGCTGCTTTCATATTTTTCCTACCCGATTCTGAATAAAAACTGTATTTAGGTTCTTTCAAATCAACAAATAATAAGGACAATTTATGCATTTGCATAGATTTAAACAAAAAAAATAGTTGTTTTGAGGCAGCCACAACACTAGATGGTGCTTATAGCATTTGCTGCTGGCTCGTTCTTCTCTGCTTCAGTTATGATTTTTGTGGCATGATTATAACCAGACCTACCACCTGATCCTTGTGTTATGGCCTTGGAGTTTTCAAATTTTTTTTTCTTTTAATCTCTTTAGCTATTTCATTTAATTACATTATTTGGAGTCTTCAACCTTGTGTTTTTTTGTGAAAAAAAAAAATACACTGCATCACTTCAAGCTGTGGCTGAAATGAAGACTTGGCCAAGTTTCAGTGAGCCACAGAGCAGACACACAGGCCAGCATATGGTAATGATTAGACAGGAAGTCTTAGCTCTCATATTCCCACACGTCGACATGATTTCAACACACTTCACTCAGAATCAGAGGGAATGTGCTGTTTTTCCCAATAGTTTGTAATACAAGTGATGAAAACCCAGTTTTAAAGTTTCAATCACTGTAAAAAGTAAAGCTACCTGTTACCTATTGTCATGGTTATTGATGTAGAGTGTAATGGAAGGCCTGCACTTTTATTTCGAGAAGTTTAGTAATGGATTTATAGGCAACTATTTTGTAGCTTTTAGCTATTTTGCCTCTCTATGCTCAGGTGGTCAGACGGTGAGCACCACCGACTCATCAACCAGTAACAGAGAAAGCGTGAAGTCGGAGGATGGCGATGACGAGGAGCCTCCTTATAGAGGACCATTCTGTGGCCGTGCCAGAGTCCATACAGACTTCACTCCTAGCCCCTACGATACGGACTCCCTCAAACTGAAGGTATTATTGTACACTGACAGTAGTGTGCAAAAGTTTTGAGCCACCTTTCATATCTCTGTTTTTCTACTGTGGAGCCAGATTTTCTTTTCATTTTTTACAGTGGTCTTGGGCAATAGTTCTCCAAACTGTCTGAAGGTGTTTCTTTGGACAGAATGAGCGGCTGTTTTTTTTTTTGTTTTTTTTCCACTCCTTTTGAGTCCAGTGTTAGTCTAGTTATTGTTGGTTGTTTTACAACTTAACACTGACTTATGGATCACCTGAGCATAAAAATGCTCCTAACTCAAGGCATGAACCAGTCTAACAGCCTGTCACAATAACCCATAATGTGTTCCCATTTCTGTAGCGGACTCTCAGTAATAATAACAAAATAATATTTTTACCCAAACAAGCTGATTCTCAAAGCGTTATTATCTTGGCATAACCCGGCATGGTGTGCAGTGTTCCCCTAAAAAATTGGAGGAAATTCCTCAAGC